ATCATGTCCTTTTGAGTGATGGAAAGAGACAGAGAGACTTCAACTCCAGATTTATTCTCCAATTATTTTAAAATAATGAAAGTTAAAATTATTAATTTTTTTCGTATTAAAATTATTAATAAGTATTGTCTTAGAAACTCAAGATAAAACTTAGTTTGTTTGTTCAATTATACGAGTACTAAATAACTTTTTCTAATAATGTTCAATTCTCGAGGAATATTTGTTTCATCCATTTCAATTTGTTTACTACACTTTTTTTAGTCTCTTTCAGAAAAAAAAAAAACCTCAGACTCTTTTTAGCTATTGTTCAACTTTTTTTATGACATATTTAATATCATAAAATTAAATAATCTTTTGATACATTTGATATATATTTAATTTACATTCATAAAATTTAAAAGTTTTTTACTTTCTTAAGCTCTGTGTCATATCAAAATACGAAAAATAAATGAATGAACAAAACATATAAATGTTTATATGATAGTGTCAACTTGGTCCATATGAACTTTTAGACCATTAAGGCATTAATAATAACAAAAGGACTTCAAGTTCAAAAGAAATTCTTTAAAAAATAGTAAAACCTATATAAGTGGATCATAAAATTTAAAATAATTACAAGTTTATATTCAAATTTAGAGTAATTTCTGAAATACTCATTCTCTCATAAATAATTACAGTTTTTACCCCATTTATTAAGGGTGATAATTTTCGCTTAAGTGTAACTAAATCGATATCATATATTGTATTGGTATCATTAAGATTGATAATTTCACTTAAACTGATATTAAATCAATATTTATATACTGTAATGGTATCATTAAAGTTTCTTGTTCAAAAAATTTTCATTAGTCAATAATGTTTATTGTTATGGTATCATCAAGGTTTCTTGTTCAGAAATTATTCATTAATAAATGATATTATAAGAGTATATATATACTCATTGACCAATGAGTAGTTTTTTTAACAACAAACCTTAATGATACCAATATATATATGTCATCTTTACTATAAATAGTTGGTCTATATTATTTGTTATTTTATAAAAAACAATGCATAAATTATAATATTTTATCCAAATGAGTTATTAACCTTGAAAATATACACTTGACCAATAAAAAGCGAAGGGTTGCGATCTTTCGAAATAAACAATTATAACAAAATGTTAGCCAATACAACCCTTTATTATAGCCCCAAAGTAAAGCAAAGGCTACCCAACACAACCCTTTATGTATAACATGCATGGTGGAAAACAAAGAAATAAGCTTTACGTAAAATTTATTAGTTCAATAGCAAAAAATTTATATTGATTCTATTTAACTTAGAATTAGCTTAAAATTATCGATAAATTTCATAACTAATCCCATATTGTACATTAATAGCAAAGGGAAGAATAAGGAAGGTTAGCAAAAGTTTAGGTATATTAATATTTTAATGAGCTCTTCTATATTATATAGTTGAGCTAATATAATTAGGTCAAATGAGCTAGGAGCTACTATTATAGTTGAGCTAAATTTTTATAGTGTAAGGGAGGAATATGAAGGTTCATAAATTAGCAAAAAATCCATGTAGGGTTAGCTAGGATTTGATTAAGAATTGGAGGTTGACAATTAAACACCTAATTAATTACCACATAAATATATGTTCAAGATTGTGCAATATTTAAAAACTATATTGTGCATTTATTTAAAATCATGACAATTTGTGATGTTATTTGAGTTCTTATAAAAATCTTTGAATTATAACCTCTCATCATTTTACTAATACAAGATGTTAAAGTGAAAAATTTATGAGATAGCCAAAAAAATATAATACTACAATTGAAAATAAAAATGAAGAAATAAATCTCTTCAGGCTGAGGCGCGGATATCTCGTTCTCTTTAAGGAGATTCTAGTTCACTGCATCAAATGTTTTCACCGGTCCAGCAGTACGTAGTCCTCTTGACTTGTCCCCTCCAGAATACAATACAAAACAACCTTCACAAAGTATAACTCAACAACTCTGCGCAAGAGTTGAGTCCAAAGCTCCACAAAAAAGAACATGACCTCTTTTCAATTAATAAGAACTCTCTTTTTGACTAATTAACTCTTTCACTCTATATTTTTTCTTGTGTGTCGTGTGTTTCAAACCAAATAAAGATCATCACTACTTATACTAAAAGAAATCTTCCTAACAATAAATAGGAAAATAAATGGCGTAGAAATTACATGTTACTTAGGATAAAAAAAAAATAATGAAGGAATAATCACTACTCAACAAGTGGCTTAAGTTGACTTTTTTTTCCTTTTACATAAATTTCAACTTTTTCAAAATGTTCTAATAAAGCATTAATATATTCACATAATTGTGGCCATTTTAAGGAAATCAACAAAAAAAAAGGGAATTTTTATGAATAATTCAATCCAATCAAGAGATTGCACCACTTTATTTAAAACATTATATTATTAAAAAGTTACATATACATACAACATATCAAAACCTTACCCTTTTTAACCCCAAAATACTATTACTATAATAACGACAACTACAACAACAATGACAACATGCATCGAGAACTTGCAAGTTCGCCCCCTGTCTCCCGCTCAAAATTTCTTGTAAATCTGTCACAAAAGGCGCGATAACTTCTAGACGTAACTCGTTCATTTTTATATTTTAGAATAGATTCCGCCCTTACTACTACTACAACAACAACAACTACAACAACAAATACTATTACGACAATAACAACTACTACTACAACTACGATAACAACAACTACAACAACAAATACTACTAATACTAGTACAACAACAATAGCTTAATAAGGAAGGACCCAATGAAACCCTAAAAACAAAATTAGTTACCTTGATCAACAATAAAATAAATCATCCCATGAAAAAAAAAAACTATTTTTTCATGACCAAAAGCATGCAATACTAGTAAGGAAGTATGTTTCTTCTTGCCCTATTCACCTTCCTCCTTAGATAAGACAAAAGCATGAAACTATTTGACTTGACACGATATTTGAGAAAATTAAATTCGTAATTTAAAATAATTTTAATCAAATATTTGATTGGATGTAAATTATTTCATTTAAAGTAAAAATAAAATTATAAAATTTAATAATTTTTCATTTTAATAAATGACTCATTTTTTAAACGGACTAAAATAAGCACATAGAAAAAAAAGAAATTAAGTAGTGTCTCGGTCGAGAAATTAAGTGTCTAGGGTCCAATACACCATTCTGGAAAAGGTCAACATTGACCTTCCTTTCGTTCATCCAACCTAAAAAAATTCAACCACATAAAAAAAAAAAATTAAAAAAAATGGTATTTTTTTTTTGTGTGTGTGTGGGGTGTTAGGATCGAAAATAAGCAAGTATAAATGCGGAAGCTAGCAAAGCAAACCTCGAAAGATCACGAGTAAGAAGACAAACGAGAAATACACCAAAAGACACAAAGATTTAACGTGGTTCGGTCAATCGATATGCGCCCACAAAGGAGATGAGCAATCCACTATAAATATGAGAGTACAAAATACAGAGAGAAACAATCTCAACCAATTCACTCGGAATACATGGAGGTTCACACAAGTGATAATGTATCAAGTTTGTGATCCATAAATTCTCCCCCCGAGCAAAACTCTCAAAGCCCTTAAGACTACATTGTGAATGCTGATTGAGTTAGAAAGAACATGCCTCTATTTATAAAGTCCTAAACATTTTCCTACCAAAAAAAAGATTACTCAATCCAAAATTATTATTTTTTAAAAAAATCTATTTATAAGAAGAAATTTAAGACAAATAAAACCAACACAGGGAGAGGGGGCAAGTGAATGGTTTAGGTCTTTTTGTTCATTTTTATTCTATACCAACAATCTTGCAAAAACACCTTTTGAACAATACTTATACCATATTGGAGGAGGGAGTATAATATTTATTTCTTAAGATGAATAAAAAAAAATTAAAGTTATAAAACTCGTTTAAATTTAAATACACACATAAATTAAATCTCCTTGAATTAGTTATACATAACATAAATAATACCAGAGTGTATAATTAAACCCAATAAAATACTTATTATAAATGTAGACATTATTTTTCTAATATAATCACTACTAAAAGTATTTTTTAAAAAAAATATCTCAATGTTAAATAAAAGAAAACCAATGTCAATTCAATTTATGTCCCTATCAAGAAAAATCCACGCAAGTATCAATCGCCCAACATTTTGTTTTTACGAGTTCGGAGCCTTAAAGTAAAAAAATATAAACAAAAATTCTAAAATGATATATAAAATTCTATTAAAAAATAGTATACAACAACTCATGTTCAATTTTACTTTTTTATTGAACTAAAATTCGATCAATAAATACTTTACATTTTCAAAGAATAACTTTGTTATAATGTATTATACTTTTGTGCTCATTTAGTAAGATTATATGAATAATTGAGACAGTGTTGATAGTTTTTACAACTTATGAATTTTCTTTTCATGTTTGTGAACAAAAAAAAAATCAAATTTTATGTTCAAATAAAACTTTAACTTCAGTTATTTCATATCGTGATTTCATGTCACATTACCAAACAAACCTTATTAATAGTATTAGATATTGAAAATAATTTAGAAATAAATAATTAATACTAAAGGTAAAATATTAAAAATAAATTCTTCTTTTTTTCTTTTTAAATTTCATAACAAACCAAATAACACCAAATATTTTTTTTCAATAAATAAATTAAGAAAAGTACAAGTTGACAACTGGTATTAACCACCAAACAGCCAAATTATGATTTATGAAAGAAAAAAAAATGCCACCTTTCCTTTCACTTTCCCTTTGTTTTCTTCTTTCCAAATCCAAATTTCTCTTCAATTTCCTTCTTACACAATTCAGCCTTTATTTGTTTAGGATTATTTTTTTTAAAAAAAAGGTATGTAATAGTACTCCTTTTATGTCGTAATTTATGTGACACAGTTCGAATTGTTAAACATTTTAATTTTGATTTGTAAATTTGGATATGAATCTTTTATTATTGACCCTTTGTTTGATAATTTCAGATTCTAGTGATTTTATATGTTATTTTTGTATGAATGTTTAATGAACCAATCTGCTACTGTTACTTGCTTTAGGTTCTTGGATTCAGAAATCAGTATAAAGATTTGATTTTTGATTTTGTGGAGAAACAGGGCTAAACCCCATTTCAATTCTTGGGATTTACCTTCTTTTTTTCACTTAAAAAGAGGATCTTTATGGGATTTTAGAAGGTTGTAGTATTAGTTTGGCACAATTTTTGTACTTTAGAGGTAGCTTTAGTCTGGCCAGAATTGTCTTTTTATTTTATGTCTGCTTACACTTTACCCTTTTCGAACCTTACTCATGTGATTACACCGGATATGTTAATGTTGTTGTTACGTCTTATTTGATTATATATATATTTAGTTTTTTTTTTAAAAAAAAATAAATTATGCTGCTAGAATCTGCGGGTAGTTTCTTATCCTTCGATTTCTGTTACTATTTAATGTCACTTGTAGTTTGACTATCAAACTATTTTATTGTAGTTGTTGTTCCTTTTTTATTTCATGTTTTGCTTTGTCATGCTTTGTATATACTATCTGCTTTGATATGTCTTTTCTTGAGCAGAGGTCTATACGAAAAAACCTCTCTATCTCCCAACGTTGGGGTAAGGTTTACATACTATACCTTTCCCAGAATCCACTTGTGGGATTACACTGGGTATGTTGTTGTTGTTGAATGCCAGTGGAATATATATAGAAGGCGTAATACATAAATGAATACTCAAACTTGGCTTCGATTGACAAGTAACCACTCCAACTTTGACAGTGCTTCCTTCCTTATTTTCTCCATTCTTTTGGTTTGTTTGTGTCATTTTGTTTCAAAATGATTTGGTTTCTTACAACAATACAAATACGTGAAGTGGAAACTTCTTAATTATTGGATGATTAGTTCCTGTTTCTGTTAATAGAAACTGATTAGAATTGGTTCTCAACAATTATTCTTATGATTTATCTTGTCTGTCTTCCTTTATGGCTTTCTTTTCTAAAAGTTACTTCTTATTGGTAATCAGTGATAGAGGGAAGTTCAACCCGAATGATCGGTTGTTAAACAGAGAGAAATAACTGTGTGAACTGATAGATATCTACGTTAACAATGTATGCATATATGTCCTTTCACCTTTGCACTTGGATGTTTAGCTTAAATTAGTTTTTGTTTCTGCCTTGTAAATGATCCTAGAGTATTGCCTTTGTTCGTGGTTGAGTGTATTATACTTCACCTCAGTAAAGTACCTAACATTTTGTTTAAACTTACATTCACAGATCTTCTTGTTTGAGTCTTGGGGCATATTGGAGGTATGAGATGGACTTTCTAGGCTGCTTAAGGGACTGAAATAGATATGCAAGTGTCTCTTCTTTTAGCAACATGATGAAGATTAGGAAATTGTTGCGTAAAATAATTGCTATTCTGATGTTCAGAATTGACTGGAAGAAGCTGGTTTTCATTGGTGCTATTCTGACAGTATTTAGGATAATGTTTCAAATTTCTACACTTCCTTATCCTCTTACAGAATGGATCCTCTTCCCACCATCGGAGATTTCATCTTCCCGCTATTTGAATCATGAAAAGAACTTGAGGGAACTTCCAGCGAGTCAAGATATGCGGTTTAACCTTAGTCAGCATGCCCCCCTAGTTGTTTCACTCAACTCTACAGATAGACTGAACGAAACACAGCAGGTCCTGGAAAGACGACAGCAAGTTTCGAGACAGCAGAAAAGTAGGAAGCATGTGGATGCAGTAGATAAAGTTATTTTCCCTTCTTCACCTGTTAGAAACAAGTCCAACAATATGCTGGTAAGTTTTTCGTTGTGCTTATATTCCTTAAGAATATTACTGAATTCGTTCGCCTTATGACTTTCTTTTTTTTCACTGTATCAATTTTCCAGAGATACATAACATCTTTGACTCCAGATGAGGCACTTGCATATGCCAAACGAGAGATTGAGAATGCCCCACTAGTTACGGATGATCAGGACTTGTATACTCCTCTATTCAAGAACGTATCCACTTTTAAGAGGTAGGTATTTGATTATATTTTTTTAGGTAGCTTATTTTTCAGATGATTTATGATGATATGCTCTGATAAAGAATCGTGTTTATTATGCTTTGTCATAAAAAAGAAGAAGAGTCTTATTTATTATGATTATCACTTGATTCAGTTAGATTTATCCTAGATAAAATACTAGGCTTTTTTTCACTAAACAACTATTGGTTGTTGAGGCCTTTTCTATTATGGATATCTTTTTCATTTTGTGTTTCAAAATTAGCTTTTTCTTTAAACACAATTAGGTTGACATTCCAGGAGCTATGAGTTGATGGAGCTTATACTCAAAGTTTACATTTACAAAGAAGGGAAAAGGCCGATTTTTCATCAACCTTATCTTAGAGGAATTTATTCATCCGAGGGATGGTTCATGAAGCTGATGGAGGATAGTCGCAAGTTTGTGACAAGGGATCCACAAAAGGCTCACCTGTTCTATCTGCCATATAGCGCGCGTCAGCTACAAAAGGCACGATATGTGGTAAACTCACATGATCTTAAGCCGTTATCAGTGTTCCTGCAGAACTACGTGAACATGCTAGCTTCAAAGTATCCTTTCTGGAACCGCACACGTGGGTCAGATCACTTTCTTGTTGCTTGCCATGATTGGGTATGCATCTGTATCGATATTGTCTGCTGAACTATGTATTACTTTCGCATTCTTCTTTGGACATAAAACTTTTAAATTTGCTATTACGCCTGGGGAATTGGACTTCCTTAAATATTAGAAAAGTGTAGGCTTATCTAGTCGTAAGGGCACATCATGTGATGTGCGGATTAGACACATATCAAAGAATCAAACCTTGTCACAATCAAAAACCTAGTATTTAAGCGGAGTAGGGTAGATGAACACATCTATTATCCATAGAGTTTCGAACCATGCATCAATGACCTTCGGACTGGGTGGGGTGGTTATAAGAAGAATTTTCCTGCATAAGAAACTACTCTCTCTATCCCAATTTATGACACTTTTCCCTTTTTCGTCAGTCCCAAAAAGTTTGTCACCTTTCTATATTTATAAACAATATGACTGTAAAATTCTCATTTTTCCTTTCCTGAGATGATTTATAATCTATGGCTTGTTTTAGACCACAAGTTTCATAAGTCGTTTTTTCCTTAAAACTTCGTGTCAGTCAAATAAAGGCACAAAGAAAATGGAACGAAGGGAGGAGTATATGGTACAAATAAGAAAACCTTTTTTTGCAATTATCATGTGTTGAACTCTTTTCTGGTTATGCATTTTCGATTTTGATGAGTATTTTTGCGTTTTCTTACTATATGTTTTAGCAAATTCTTACAGGGACCTTATACTCTAAAAGATCATGAGGAGCTGAGTAGAAACACTATAAAAGCTCTCTGCAATGCAGATATATCTGAAGGAATATTTGTTTCTGGGAAGGACGTTTCCCTTCCTGAGACCACTATAAGGAATCCCAGGAGGCCTCTTAGAAACCTCGGTGGAAAAAGAGTTTCACAGCGCCCGATTCTTGCCTTTTTTGCTGGAAATATGCATGGTCCAGTACGTCCCAAACTTCTCAAATATTGGAGGGACAAAGACGAATCCATAAGAATTTACGGGCCTCTACCCCATAGAGTCTCAAAAGTTATGTCTTATCCTGAACACATGAAATCAAGCAAGTACTGCCTTTGCCCGATGGGTTATGAAGTGAACAGCCCGAGGATTGTCGAGGCAATATATTATGAGTGTGTTCCGGTTATCATTGCTGATAATTTCGCCCTTCCATTTAGCGAAGTTTTAAACTGGACTGCTTTTTCTGTGGTTGTTTCTGAGAAAGATATTCCTAGGCTAAAGGAGATTTTATTAAGTATACCTCTGCGACGTTACCAGGCCATGCAAAATAATGTCAAGATGTTGCAGAAGCATTTTATTTGGAACTCAACGCCGACTAGATATGATCTGTTCCATATGATTTTGCATTCGATTTGGTTTAGCAGACTAAACCAGATTCAAGTATCACAGATATCATAGTTTCTTGAGTTGTGGTTGTCAAGTATTGCAGATAATCATAGTTCCTCGAGTTCTAGTTGTTCCAACTTGACTGTCTTCATGACCTCGAGAGTTTATCCGTTTGGATTTGATATACAAAAACCTTTCAAGAGCTACAGCCGGTTTTGTTCTCTTAACTTGTGCACTTATATGCTTCTGCCTCTTGGCTAGAAAAAGAAGACTAGCTGGCTGTAGAAGGCTGCCATTTTATAAAGGAATTTAGTCAGATTATTACCTGTGTTCCATGGATGAATTAAGCAATTTCTGATGGCAGAAACTGCTTTGTACTTTGACAAAACCGTACGTTGCTTGCAGAAGACAAACTCAGATAATGCAGTTTGTATTCCAAGTCAAATACCTGGCAGGTTTTCTTTTGATTATAGTTGTGGGATTCCACTGAATATGTTGTTCTTGTTGTATAGTTGAAGGGCAAAAGGAAGGGTGGTTAAAACTTTTGTCCAAACATCATGGCTAGCATTTCACAGATTTCCGATATATTGAACTCCTACTTGAAATGATTTCATGTTTGAGGAACAACACAAGAAAAGGAGGCCAGTCCATTGATATTCAAGCCAAGGTACAATCACAATGATATCAGTGGAAATGAACTGCAAGGAAGAAGTGAAACTAAGGTATGTTGATGTTGACATGGCCGCGTGTATCTCTCTGAATTTTTTGTAAGTAACAGGATTCTTTTGTGAAAGAAAGAAGAACTGAGGGAAAAGATAAGTAGAGAAGAAGAAGAAAGATCAAGATATACTCGATGATATTCCTCCTTTACAAATAAACAAGATGATCACACAACACAATTGAAACAAGAAATTACCCCATGTACAATCAAGCAATCAAAATCCAAGCATCAGAAAACGCAACCAGTTCAAACAAGGAACAGTGGCATCACAGCAAACTCGACTGATCAACTTTAGCTCGAAATTCTGTCTTTCTGGTGCAAGAAGTTCCTTCCTCTGCCTTTTTAGTTCCCTGAATGAAAAAGCAACACAAAGTGAAGCTCTTGTTAACATTTGAATGGTACATTTATGCTTAGTGTCATTGACATATATGACAAATCTGAAAGTTAATTGGTATATCACCTGTCATCAGTTTTACTTCTTTAGGAAACAATGCTCTAAATTTGACTTGAAGTTGTTGTTATCCCATTTCAGTAGGTTCCACCATTCTGATGTTCCTTTCATTAGCCTGATCTTATTGGAGGTTTGAATAGAGAAAGGCAACTCCTTTATTTCATAGCAATTGATGAGCTTAAGTTCCTCTATGTGTTCCCATGGCTCCCTCAATGTTCTTAATCTTGAGCTGCATTGCAGCAGCCGATGACAAAATGCAACTGATACTTCCTTCTTCTGCTGCTGCTGGTGTGAAATCACAAGAACAACTCTCTATGTGTACTCTACCACATCATGCATCTTCACATAATAATAATCCACACTGTGATCAGCTTCTTGTAGCAAGCAGGCATCTTTTAGACTATCAATCATTGTGATTCATTCCCCTGTTGTAAGCTTCTTCATATGTGTCATGTACACCAAGGGAACCCCTCTGCCCACCAACACTTTATGAGATCATATGTTGAAATAGCCATGGGATGTAAGGAGCAATACAAGAAACAGCTTGGAATGTCACCTCTCTTATTCTTGACATGTTTGCTTCTTTGATTCAGAGTATAATTCATTATCCGGAGATTCTAAAGAATCAAAACTCAGCTTGATGACCTTGTAAACCTTATCTGTAACATCTTTGCTATGAGGTTCAGATGATTTCAAAGCATCTTTGATTATGATAACTATTCTCAATACTTCAAAACAATTAGGGTTGTTTGGAAGTCAACCCGGTAACTCGATTTGGTGTAATTAGTATATCTTGCTTGGTCATTTAATTTCTTTGTCAATAAGTAATTGAGTGTTATTGACGGGGTTAATTACACTCACCAAATCTCAGGGAGGGACTACGAATTGCCTAGTAATTAAATGGTGTAATTATAAGTTTGATTATTTCTTGTTTCTATTTTTATTTTGTCATTTAGATCAAACTATTAGTGGTAGGGGTGTTTTTGAAAGAGATATTTTTAGACCAAACTATTAACTTGATATTTTTGTTCAATTTCACATAGTTTAACGATACTTTGACCATTTTTTGAAAAAAAAATAATCCACGATCCTTGTGATATGTGATATATATCATATACTAACAAGGTATCATAGATTATTGATTCATTCCTTCAAGAATTAAAAATACTCCTCTCCAGTGTTCTCAAAAACGTTTTTGTGGCGCGTCTCAGGGTAGGGTGTACCAAAAATGCTCTGGGGCCTAAATTAAAAACGTAGATCCATAAGGCATAAGTCCTAAAATTTGAGGCGTTAGTCCTAAACATAAAAACACAAGTCCTGGGCGTAAAAACGTACGTCCAAACATTTATAATTTATTTTTTTTAGTTTTTTATTTTAGATCATATTTTTATTATTGGTGTAATGATATTCCTCAAATAATAATATAATATTTTTTTCTTCGTTATTGTTTATTAATACTTAGCTCAAATAAAAATCATAAATCATAAATCATTCAAATGTTTATTTTTACTTATTTTATTAGTAATAAAAGTATAAAATTAAATATACATGAGAGACTACATCCGGTAAATTCATGGGACTTACACCTTCCCTCACGCCCCTACCTTTTAAAACACTGCTCCTCGCATTAGTTAATTTCTTATAAAAGTATTTTATTAATGGAGGAGCATTTACCACCCAAACTTCTCACATTTTCTCATTTTTGACAATATTTACTACTGCTTCATTTATTCATATTTTAATTGTGTTTATTTCCATTATTCCTATAAATTTTGATGATTATAAGTTATAACTCCTAATAACGCAACTTTTAGATGGAAAATATTTAAAATCAAATCTTGGACTGATTCGAACATACCGATGTATCATCGATGAAACCCCTTCATTTGATAAAAAAAAATAATACCCAAATTGATAAAAATGCATTTGAATAAAGGAGTATGAGGCTATGGTCTATACTAATAACATTTTGTAATCTTTTTTTTTAGGCAGGTACACAACATATACTTTCAACAACATACACGCTATAATCTTACATTTAGGGTTTGGAATGGGGAAGATTTACGCAGACCCTGTCCCTACCTTTTGCGAGGTAGAGAGGTTGTGTCAGATAGACCCTCGGCTTATCTCTTTCGTAACTTCAAATTGTGAAATGTTTTTTCTCTTTTCTTTCCACCAGACAAGAAAGAATCTCTTCTAAAACATCTGTAAACATTTCCTTTATGGATAATGTTTGGTGCCCAAGCCAACAAGCACCTCTACTATTTCACGAGTACCTAATCCCTCCTACAAGCATATAAACCTCACAAAAATTAAAAGAACGAAAGAAATAAAGTAAAGAAGTGACGCGCTAAGTTGTAGACAGTAGTGCATACTAGTTCCTCAAGCATCTCTTCTCTCTACAGAAACGCTCATGTGAGTGTTCAACATGTCATGGAACAAGTGGTTTACTATCCCAGACCTCCCTTGCTCCAACTAAATCAGGGCGGTATCTCTTTGCTAACACTTCTACTAGTGCATCAAATGACTTGTTTTCATGTTGACTTATTTGACGCACCATCTCTTTCCATCTTTTTCGACATAAATCTCCATGCCTGTGGGAGAGAAGATTGTCCCAATCCACATCCTCTATGCAGCTTGCGTCTAGTTCAAAAAGGGCAGCAATTAAGCGATAGTCATCAGTATCTGCCCATTCACCTGCAACCACCATCGAGGATGTTAATTGTCTGTACCATTTATTGCAGCAATGATGGGAAATCCTGGTGGACAAATTGTCACTAATTGAACTCCAGCAAATATTATCCCGTAGCATCCCATGCCTAGATTTCCTTTCTTCAGAGAGCTTAAGTTGCAGATCGGTGTTTACTAAATCAAACAATTTCTGTACTTCCTCCTGATCCCACTGTCCTCTCTTTCGATTTTCCAGTTTTATCCTATCCCATGCATTTCCAACATGATCCGGATGTTTCCCAAGTTCGTTGGCCAAGAGGGTCCACTTATTCCCATGTGCTCCCTGGAACTTCCGAAGCATCCCATACTCTTCTTCAGTCCATTTACGCTTCTCTCCCATTCGAAACAAACGCTGTGCACGATGATAAACTGCTGTGTAAGGCCTGTATGGTATAGCCTTCCCTATCTCTTTCCAGCAGCCCCTTAGTTTAGGATAAGATTTGGAATTCAAAACCTTTTGAAACCCCTCATCCCCCAAATTATATACCTCTATGTATCTACAAACAGCATCTTTGACGATTTCATCTTCTTCCTGTGTGAAATATTTGCCAAGCAATAATTCTTGTTTGTTATTTTCATGCCTCTCATTGCTAGGATCACTGATTGGATGGAAAAACTGTACATTATCAGAAAATCTCACTCTTTTTTCAGTCTTTTCATTAGTAAGATTTTTCGAATTGTGCCCTAATTTTGTCTTTTTCATCTTTCTGATATTAGCATCATCTATTTGTCTATCTTCCGTCTCTTCTATGGCTGAAACATCACCTTGAATGACACCAGCCACGCTATCTACCTGTCCATCCTTTTTATTCTTATCCTTTTTCCTTTTCTTCCTCTTCATCTCATCTATAGCTGAAACATCACCTTGAATGATGCCAGTCGCGATATCTACCTGTCCATCCTCTTTATTCCTCTTATCCTTTTTCCTTTTCTTCCTCTTCATCTCATCTATAGCTAAACTGAATGACGCCAGCCACGATGTCTACCAGTCCATCCTCTCTTTTCTTCTTATCCTTTTTCCTTTTCTTCCTATTCACTTCGTCAGCTGAAACAACACCTTGAATGACACCAACCACGATATCTACCTGTCCATCTTTTCCCCTCTTATCTTTTTTCTTTTTCTTTTTCTTCCTCTTCACCTCATCTATAAGATTTCCACCAGAGCCCTCGCTGAGCGTCTCCACGGCCTTGGTTTCATGAGTTCCGCTCGCACTTTCATGAGCAAGTGTTTTGGTGTCTAAACTAGCATCGTGCATTATAAGTATATCCTGCTCATTCTTCAACTTCTTTTTCTTTTTTAAAACATTATTAACAGTATCCTCGCACCCGTCTTTACTGTATTTCCCATGCTGTTTACCACCACCTCTTTCTTTCTTTATCTTGATGTAACTACCTTCACTTTCGCCAGGTGCTTGAGTTTCCATCTTTGTCTTATCCCTTTCTTTCCTGATCCCTGTAAAAGAGAGACTCTCTTCCTTGAAACATGAATCATGCTCAACGGCTTTAACATCGCCCTTTGTCACTTCCGAATCATCAGTGACAGCATTCTTTTTCCTATTCTTGGATTTCTTCTCCGACTTCATGAGCATATCAACCTTCTCATCTCCTTGGACAATGCCTTTTTTAGAAAATGTCACCTATGTGTCCTATCGCAATGCACCAAAACTGGATTCTCTGCAAAAGAGAAAAATAGAGAAAACATATGATTAAGAGACAGAGTGATATAGATTAGCGCACACAATTTACCGCTCACTCAATTAGATAGGACATTACACAGTTGCAGCTTAACGAGGACATGACCTTGAATAGGAGAGGATATGAAGGGCAAGGATTACGGTAGAAGATTAATAGCAGTATTAGTACTCTCCTACGATATAATGCTTCGATATTATTACTACATGTTGTTTCCTTTTGCTACTGTTTCTTTTCTTCATTATTTTCACTAGTTTATATAAAGTTGGGAATCAAACAAGCTGCAAAACACAGCAATACTTATAATTTCAAAACCTAAAAACATAATCATCTAGAACAGATAAGAAAAAATCACCCAGTACTTTCGTCTCGCTAGTGGATTTGAACGTGAGACCTTATGGTTCTCCACCTACATACGAAATAATAAACTATTCACGAATTATTCTTAATACACCCTACCAAACGAACTAAAGGTCATAAAAAAATTAGAACGAATACCATGAGAAACCAACTCCAATACAGGTAAATTCATCTTCATCTATCTAATCTTAGCATAGTATTCTCCTATACCCAAATGCAACTACGCAAGCTAACTCGAAAAACCATTATGATTAACTAAAGCTTAATAGCCAGTGAAAATTACAAGAAATCACAAAAAAAAAATCAAATTTTGCCAAATTTATCAAACCTGAATCACTGGCGAGCAGCAGTGAATGCGAAAATCCAAACGTAATTGATTTGTGAAAAAATCAGTTTAAAGTACTGAAAAAAATAAAATTAGGGATTTGGAATTTAGAAATCTGACTGGTGAAAAGAAATGGTCTTAAAGAGTTTCGGGTTAGAATTATGGGCCCAAACACTATCCAATATATTGGGCCTAATACAAAGAGACCATAAATTTCAGCCCGTTAAGTCGGCATTTAATTGTGTCATTCAAATGGATTGATCTTTAGTTTTCGTCTGTAATAAATCAAACTTATGTCTAGCGGAACTTAAGTTACTTAAGGGCGTAGACTAGAGCATAACTTGTGAGGTATTATGGTGTGAAAATATAAACTTATACCCCGTGTTGAAAGACCAATATAGAATAGGATAAAAGCGCAAATATACCTTAATTCAGTGAGTTAAGGTCGCTTTAACACTAGCTTATTTAGTCTAAATATGTATTTTTAATTATTATTTTTTTTAAAAAAAAATGTTAGAGAGTTCGGATGTTTGGTTAGATTTTAACGGGGAAAATGTGTTTTTGAATAGAAAAAAAATAGTTTCGATAAGTACATCTTGAAAATCTAGTCAAGTATAAATTGTGGTTGTAAAATTAACAAAACTATTTTTCAAATTGATTAACTATAAATTAGTTCTTATCCTCCAAAAGTATATTTTTTGAAAAACTCGTCTAAAATATTTTTTAAAATACATAAATTTTAAACATTTTTTTTTAAAAAAATATCGAGTAAAATGAAAAATTTATCTTTCATCGATCAATAAAATTGTCCATACAATTTTAAACATTATTGTCACAATCAAACTTATAAAATGGCCGTTTAAAGTAAAGCATTACTATATATTGCATCATAACAATAATATACATGGTCTATTTCTAAGGTAGTCAACAAGTGGCTACAAATTAAAGAATACTAAGAATATAGTGTTATAACTTTTTAAGCATCAACTTGTTAATTGGCCTTCTATTTTTTTTTTATTGGCTCTTTTATTATTGGGTATAAAAGAGATGATAATATTACTAATGAAAGCACTATTTTTCACTTTTTTGCAAAACATAGAGTATGGTACCCTATTTGGTATTTGGTACAACTATCCGATTTTGAGATCATCATTTAAGATAAGTATATATTGCGTAATATAAAAATTTGTCATATTATCTACTTCGAAATAATTCCATATATGCAATGTCAGAAGTTAAATTTTAAATAAAATATTTAAAGTTATATGACTAAAGTTTAGACATATATTTCTTTGAAGTTTTATATGAATATAGTTAAAGGACATAAGCATAAAGTTTCATAAATTGGAGTTCAGATACATATGTTTAGTCATTTTTATAAGAATTTTAGCCATATGTGACTCAATTAAGTCCTTTTTCTCTCTATACTTTTGGCAAAAATTCATGAACATCACTTATATTGAACATTAGATATTTATCAATTCTAATGTCTAGACATGTGATGTTTGGTAATAGTTTAAGGCTCTCGACTAATTCAGATCCTCGTCATTTAACATAAGAGGATATTATTTTGCTACTCTAAAGACTTAAACTCAAAAAACTTTGGTTTTTAAAAGTTAAATAGTATGAATTTTGTAAATGTTTTAAGCTACATAGCTTTTTATTATTATTATATTAATATAAAAAGGATTGTAATTTATAGCATATTTTGTATTGTTTTTAAATTTTTAAACTATTAAATTAATCTAACTGACTCAAAAATTATAACATGTAAAAATAAACGGAAAGAGCTAGTATCATTTTATTGGAACTTCCTCCCTTTCCACTAAACTATTTGAAAGGTAAAAAGTAGTAAGCATTGATTGATCGATTGAACTTGTCAATATCATATTTCATCACCAACTTTATTTGGATTAAAATGGAAGGCTTTTGAGTTGAATTATAATTGTGATATGGAAAAAGTAAAATTGACAATTTCTTGATGCAAAAATTAGGTCATAGTATAGTAAGCCAAGAAAATAAAGATTTTAGTGACAAAAAATACACACAAAGGTAAAAAAAATGGTATTTTATTTTGATAAATAAAGATTATGTCATTGTGACATAAACAAAAAAAAAAAAAAAAAAAAAGTGGTCAAATTTTCCTAAAGTCGAATATCGCTACCCCTTTTCTTTATTAAGTTCTTCGTTTTTTTTTTAATCATTTGGAGTTTATTTGATTGATTTTATATCAAAAAAGTGTTATATATATCTTTTTATTAAAAATCATTCTACTTTTAGAGCTTGAATTTGAGAATTTTTTTTAATCAAAAATAGTGAAAAAAATGGAAACTAGCTAATGATGGAGCTAAAATATTTATTAAGAAAAAAAATTGAAATATCAAAAAAGAATAAAGTAAATACACAGATAGAAATCAAAGATATTCGACATATACATTATATAAACTAAAGAAATAATTTTATATATATAATACAATTTTTTCAGCAAGAGATTTGTGTATTAAAATGCAAATTTTTAAATGTAATTATGATATTGCAATATACAGTTTGCAACATTTAGCTATCACGCAATTTTCGTATCAATCTAGTCCAACCAAACTTTTAACTTTTTTATTATATAAATTACTTATGAATTCGCGAATTTTTATTTTTAAATCTAAATTTAATATGAAAAATGAGATTAAGTTAAAAAATATTTACGCATCGATAATAGAATTCACATTTAATATTAGAATTGAGAATATAGATCGATACGTCTCTAACTTACTCTTCAAAAATATTTAAAGCAATTATTTCGGGTCTAATAACTTATTACCATTAGTAAGGACAAAATTGTAATTTAACAAGATTGCGACATAAATGCATATTTCACAAATATTCCTCCTTTTAATCACACGTGCACTCCTCTAATTAGGGAAAATGATTTTATTAAGGAATCAGTACTGTTATTATTAACAAGTTTATGAAGTTTCTCTTCGACGATTCGAGCAAATCCGATTAACATTATTATTAATAAGATTATGAAGTTTCTCTTCGATCATGATGAGTATATCGATTCGAGCAAATCCGATTAACGAGCTTAATCACATGTTTACCAGCTAAGCTAATCACATGGGCCAGATATGTAAGGCCCACTAGTAACACGAATATCCATGCAAAGCTGGCCCATGATACAGTCCACTAACTCTTTTTCTTGGCAATTGTTGCACATGCACCATTGCACGTGTGGGAATCTTTTGAATGAATAATTTTGTAATGTCGGGGCAAAGTTAGATCGATGCAAGGGGTTCATTAATACAATGTCGATAAATAATTATACGTGAAAAGGGGTTTCAAATTTCGTGAAAATTCAAATGTATAAATACGTAAATGAGTTTTGTTTTAAAGCTAATATTACAATAAAATCTCTTTTAACTTTCTCTTAATTTTTTTTAAACGAAAAGAAGCAAGGAAAAGAGAGAATTACAAGATAGGTAATCAAACTTTAGTTAATATAGTATTAAAAAAATTTAAATATCAACTAATCGAGTTATTAATTTTTTTTTAAAAAAAATCTCTTAATAATTACTAGAAATGAACAGAAAAAAATATTATTCTTGCGATTTTTCAATTTCTAATATAGCTCTTTTTCTAATTGGTTGTGGAAATATTACTTACGTAATTTCATATTAGAATAATAATAGTAATAAGAATATTTTGGGTTGACCGTTGAACGCATCTACAAATGAAACTAAGTCATTTTGATTTGGGATGCACGTGTGGATATACACGTGTGTCTTGTTGTACTGTACTTTAAGTGCCACGTAAGAAGCACATGATATCGGTATCAATCATAAAATTAACGCTAAAATAAAAGTTCAGATCATCAATTAATTAAGTTACTAAGATTTATGATATTGGTCTTTGAATCATGTAACTTGATCGAAAATAATTTTTTACTTGCTCAAGATACTCATACCCCTTTAGACTATTTGTAAATTTTATTTAGACACTAAAAAAAAAATCTTAATTGAACACCAGATCGAGCTCATGATAGAGTATTCTTACGAGATACTTTATTCAAATTATAGATTACATTTTTTACATGCATTCATGCTTTAGTAGGTAATAAAGTTAGTTAAATATATATATGTTATCTTCACTAATTATACAAATCGATTTTCATTTAAAGGGAAAATGCACAAGTACCCCCTCAATCTATGTCCGAAATCTCAGAGACATACTTATACTATACTAAGGTCCTATTACCCCTGAACTTATTTTATAAGTAATTTTCTACCCCTTTTTAGCTTACGTGGCACTAGTTTGAAAAAAAAAGTCAACCATCGTTGGGCCCACAAGATAGTGCCACGTAGGCTTAAAAGGGGTAAAAAATTATTAATAAAACAAGTTTAGGAGGATAATAGGACCTTAGTATAGTATAAGTGTGTCTTTGAGATTTCGGACATAGGTTGAGAGGGTACTTGGGCATTACCCAAAAATATATGAAGTTTTACAATTTATTTAGATGAATATGTATAATTAAAGAGAATCATATTCTAAGTAGCTAACTTATAAACATTTGAGAACATAAGCAAAATAAATTAAATTTAGAATTTATAATAGATTTCTTTTTTATTCTCGAATCTTAAATCTGAACTCTTTAATTAATTAAGAAAAAGACTATTAAATAATCCTACTCACTTCAGGCTTATAATCATATATATATATTTTGAAGTACGTGTGTAGAATTGCTATTATATTAATCCAAGTAAATTTTAAATCATGATGCTTTTACTTTTCGAAACTCAATTAGATGGTCCCTAATTATATGATAATTGCTTAAAAAAGGTTAGCCAAGTTGAGGAATTAATGATGTAGTTGTAAGACAACTAAAACACAATGATTAGACTCAATTAAAGATTTGTTGAATAATTAGGATCTACTAGTTCTCTTTTGTTAGGAGTCTTAAACTTTGATTACTCATTTTATAATCTTTCTGTATTTAAGATAAAAATAATTAATTTGAATTCGTATATATTTAATTTTATGCTTCTAAAATCTATATCACACTTTTAGAGGCGTCTTTTATTTATTTTTTCGAATTATGTTTACACGAAAATTTTATGCACCAAATATAT